GATAGGAGGCAGAGGCCGAAAGGTGGGGGCCAGCGTGCGTATTGTCTGATTGTCTTTGTCTTACTTTTTGTAATTTCCCCTCTCTTGGCTTTGTTCAGCCGCCCTGAGTACCTTCGGGGAATAGGGCGGCCTACAAATTGAATAAACCCCAAACTCCAACTCCTATGGAAGGAGTTCCCAGATATAAGATTAGCCTCCAACCTTGATACTTTCCCAGATAGTGCTGAAGATGTGGTTTGGTTGGCCTGGGGACCCTAGGATGACACAGAAAGGATGAAGTGATTTGTGTGTTAGATATCTCTCCCCCCTACTGTGCCTCCTTTACCCGATCTAACATTGTGTGATTGTGTTTGTTGTTCCCACAGGAGGTGGATTACATGGGTTATTGTAACTTGAATGTTTTAATGTTGTAAGCTGCCTGAGTCACCATGTGTGTGAGCTGGGTAATCATATAAATTTGTTTAATAAATAAATAGTAATTGTAAGATTCTGCAATACAAGCACAGCTGGTTTCATTATGACCGAAATGAGAAAGCAAAAACCTCCCTGGAGAAGAGAATTTATGCAGTCAGCTGCAGTGGGGAAGAAGCTAGAGAATCTCGATAGAATAAGAAACATATTTTTCCTGTTTACAATCTGCTAAATGAGGCATTTGAGCCCCTGAGAAAGAATGCTCTACTAATCTCTTTCGCCTCTTGCCAACAGGATTTATTGTTGTTCTTACTACCCAATACTTGTTCCTTTTAAGTAAAGGGACTGTTAAAGGAGCAGAAGATTAGCTTACTTATTTTCAAATTGCTAATAGAATTAAGGAACTGACCAACTCAAGGATGTTAACCAACAATAATTCATTCATTTACTTCAGAATTCTTTGCTCTTCTTATGCTGATTGGAGCAGTTAGTGTCAACCTCCAGGAAACAAATCCTGGTTCAGGATTCTGGAAAGTGTAAACCAACTGATCTGGAGTTGGCAAAGCTCTGCAAGGGGGCAGGGGAATTCCAAAAAATCAAGATGGTTACTGCAACTGGGTGGTCAAAGATCAAAAGTCTGGGTTTCTTTTAATGTGTTGCATAAATGGTGCAGATCAAAAGGAGGCAGAGCTTCACTTGGGTAGCCACTATCTTGACTTTGAATCTTCTCATGGGCACTGCAGTTGCCTTTAACTGAATGGCAGTGCCCCCCCCCCCCCTTTCTAATGGAGAACCTTCCCAAGTCTATGGAAAACTGTTGGTAATTAAAAATTTGACATTTTGGATTAAAAGTATGAGTCAAGCGTGTAGCTTTCCAAATATTGTTCTGCTGGTACAAAAAAAGGGTAACTATGGAATACTGAAACATATATTCTGGTAATTATTTAAAGGTTTAGTATTATTAAGAATTCAGATTCATATGTGGAGAGAGCCGTACACAGAATTATTTCAAAAAAATATATGTAGAGCTATCCTCCCATTATTTATTGACAGTAGAGACAAATTTTAATTAAGGAAACAAAAACAAAATTTAGAGAAAACCTTCATGCAGAGGAGATAACTCCTCTAATATTTCTGGCCAAAGTGGCCACAACATGATGGGGGGGCAGACACATATCCACGTATTTATCTGCAATGGTTTCTAAGGATCAATAATGGCAGAGAAAAAACACTATTGGTGTTTAATTGGCACACTAATGGCTTAAACCCGAAGGAGTGAATGAACATATTTACTGAATGTTTTATTTCAACTTTAATCCATATTTTGAATGAAACCAATACTTATTTGTACTCATATCCTTTGTTCATATCCATGTTTATACTTATACCTGTTATCTTGTATATGTTTGACAAACTAACTAACTAACTAAATAAAATAAAGCCGCTTATCAGCTTTATCCAATATAAGCCCCTATCTCATTGTGTGATTTTTGTATGCAAAGGGAGTAAGGCTCAGACAAAGATTTGGCACTAACTTCTGAAGAAAGATGCATATATTTAACAGGGAGCAAGCAATATAAACTGAAAAAACACAAGCGGCTTATTATGGAACAGCTTGCTAATATAATAACTCTTTCCAGGGTAGGTAGAGATCGCGGGTGGCGGAAGCAGGAACAATAGCAGCCTCTCTAGGCATCTCGGAGGTCCTCCTTTTTTCCGCCTGGTTGGGGAACGGAAAGCAGGGTAAAGGTTGCATCGAGAGGCGAAGCCAAAAGCTGGGAGAGTTGCGTTGAGCGATCTCGCTTCCGAAGCAGCCATGGCAGAACAACCTAAGTCCCGTCAGGCACCTATCAGCCCCGTAAAAAACTTCTTCGCGGGTGGCTTCGGAGGTGTCTGCTTGGTCTTCGTGGGACACCCGCTGGATACTATCAAGGTGAGAGGGGGAGGAGGGACTACAACCCCCGATAGACACTGCGCGAGTGGGGAGGAGAAGGAATACTTTAAAACGAAGGTCAACGAACTACCATTCCCAGAATGCACTTTGTCAAAGGAGCTCAGAATTATTATTTTTATGGAAAAAGAATTAGCACACTCTCCTGCGCAGGGGCAGACTTGACACCACTTTAAACATGTGAAAGAGCAGAGGTTTTTTTTAAAGTGTTTATTTACATGCCAGATTTATAATCCACCTTTCTTACAAGATTTCAAGATATATGTATACAGTGGTATTTCATTCTCCCAATTTTTTTTCTAAAGCAACAACTTATGTGTTTGGTGGAAGGATGTAGGTTTGGGTGATGGGCCTAAGGTACTCTTAATTTCGGTAGCTGAGGATATTTTTTCCCAACCTAAGTTTAAGCTTTATTTAGTACACTGGCTTTGGACCCTTGGATCATTACTCTTCTTTGTAATCCTGTGTACACGTAACAAACTAACGTATGGAACAGTGAGTTGTAGTTTGTTGAACGAACGTAATTGCTTGGATTGGACCAATACGATGAACCAGAACTAAACTACTCTGGCCATGATCACAAACACACTGAGCTAAAGGCAAAGATTCTCCTTGCACATATGTGCTAGTCGTTCCCGACTCTAGGGGGTCAGTGCTCATCTCTGTTTCAAAGCCAAAGAACCAGCGCTATCCAAAAATGTCTTTGTGGTCCTGTGGCCGGCATGACTAAACGCCAAAGGCGCACGGAACGCTGTTATCTTCCCATCAAAGGTGGTCCCTATTTTTTCTACTTGCATTTTTACGTGCTTTTGAACTGCTAGGTTGGCAGAAGCTGGGACAAATGACGGGAGCTCACTCTGTTATGTGGCGCTAGGGATTCAAACCGCTGAACTGCCAACCTTCTGATTGACAAGCTCAGCGCCTTAGCCATTGAGCCACCACGTCCCTTTGACACTGACACTGAGCTACAGAATAGTTATTTCAGTCTCATGATGGGCATGTCCATTCAATTGCTGGCATAATGCACACAACAGAGTCTTTAGGTTACGGGTATGAAACTTGCAGGCTGGATGCGTCACACCCACTCCCCTCCCCCGGTTTAGCAAAGGGGAAAAAGTTGTGATACATCACATGATGACAAGGTGACACTGCAAGTTTGACACCCCTGCTCTAGGTCAGAAACAATTTCTGGGTACAATGGATTACAGGGCATAATTGGAGATGTTGCAGTTCACTTTTAAAGCATCAGACAGCTGTGGGTCCTGCTATCTAAGGGACCACCTTTGTCCTTAGAGGCCTGCTGAACTGATAAGATCTCCAGGAGACACCCCTTTGCCTTCTGGCATGTAAGACATTGTCTCCCGTTGATTATTAATTTTTTAATGTTGTAATCTTCTGAGAGAGAGCCAGTTTGGTGTGCTGGATTAAAGCATCAACTAGAAACCAGGAGACTTGTGAGTTCTATTCTCACCTTGGACATGAAGCCAGCTGAGTAGCCTTTGGGCTGCTCCTTCCTCCTCAGCCCTAGGAAGCAGGCAATGGCAAACCACTTCTAAAAACTTGCCAAGAGAACTGCAGGGACTTGTTGAGGCAGGCTCTGAGAATCAAACAGGATTAAGGGGGGGGCGGAATCATCCTTGAGCATTTGCCAGAATAGAAAAGTGGGACATGAACTAAATAAATAGGTGAAAGGTGTTTTTTTTTTAAAAAGCAGAGATAAAAGCAGAGAAATCTGGCCTAGTCTGCCTCCTGCACCATGGCAGTGGTGGTGGGTGGTAAGGGGTGGTGGGTGGTAAGGGGGGGCTCCAGAGGCTTTCCTTGAGCCCCCGGAAGGGCAAAACAGCCTCTCCAGGCTCTGGAGACCAGAAATGGGCCCCTTTCCGGCCTTCCTGAACTTCCGGTAGGCCCGTTTTTGCCCTCCTGTGCTCCCTATATTTACCTGCATCCAAAATGGGCCGCATGGGACTCTGAGGAGGGGAGGGGTGGGCAGGGCCAGCCAGGGTGTTTGGGCGTTCTCCGAACCGCACAGAATCTTAGCTAGAGGTTCTCCCGAACCCCCGTGAACCCCCAGAGCCCACCCCTGGACTGTTTGTCTCATTATAAGACGGTTTTCTGAGTCCTTTGGAAAAGAAGGGGAATGGGGCGATTAAATCAGATGTGGCTGGATATTTCGCCTAATAAATGGATTAAGTAACACAAGCACATCTTTTGTCTTCCTTCCATGTTCCTTATATTTTGTAGGTCAGGCTACAGACTCAGCCGAAGCCTTTGCCAGGAGAGGCTCCTCTTTATGCTGGGACCTTGGACTGTTTCAGAAAGACTTTTGTGAAAGAGGTATTTTTGCCAGCTGACTTGCAGTGCCTGCCAGAGTCATGTATTTTATAGGAATGGATTTGTGTGGTAATGATACTTGAGACTAGTAGATATCAGCTTGGTCTTTTTCAATGAGGAAAACTAATGGTGAGACGGAAGGAGTCTGTCCAATTTTTAGGCTTAAGTTTTGAAAAGGTGAGAGTTCTTTGTTCTTAATCAATCATGATTTATTCTTACGTGCCCAAGCCAGAGTTTGCCTTGGGTTCATGCATCTTGATCTTTTAAACCACCACAATCATGACTGTCAATGGTTTACAAAAACATCTGTCATATAATAAAATAGTAATAATAAAAATGGTAGTAAAACTTTAAAGATGGCTAGTCCTTGACTTACGATCATAATTGAGCCCAGAATTTCTGTTGCTGAGGGAAACATTTGAATGAGCTTTGCCTCGTTTTATGACTTTTCTTGCCATAGTTGATAAGTGAATCACTGTAGTTGTTAAGTTAGTAGCATGGTTGTTAAATGAACCTGGTTTCCCCATTGCCATTGCTTGTCAGAAGGTTGCAAAATGTGATCAGACAACCTTGGGACATAATGGTCATAAATATGAATCAGTTGTCAAGCGTCTGAATTTAGATCACATGTCCATGAAATGCTACAATGATCGTAAGTGTGAAAAGCAAGTCACTTTTTTCAGTGCTGTTATAACTTTGGTCACTAAATGAACAGTTGTAAGTCGAAGGCTACCTGTATTTCAATTGGAACATTCCTAACCTGCAATCTTCACTAGCTGAAACAATCTTCCCAAAGAGTTCTGTTTCTCCAGATCCTGAAAGGACTGGAGTGAACTGTAAGGTAAAGGTAAAGATTCCCCTTGCACATATGTGCTAGTCGTTCCCAACTCTAGGGGGTGGTGCTCATCTCCATTTCAAAGCTGAAGAGCCAGCAATGTCTGAAGACATCTCCATGGTCATGTGGCCGGCATAACTAAACACCAAAGGCGCACGGAACACTGTTATCTTCCCACCAAAGGTGGTCCCTATTTTTATACTTGCATTTTTACATGCTTTCGAACTGCCAGGTTGGCAGAATCTGGGAGAAGTAACGTGAGCTCACTCTGTTACGTAGCACTAGGAATTCGAACCGCCGAACTGCCGACCTTTCTGATTGACAAGCTCAGCGTCTTAGCTACCACGTCCCTGGATTGAGCTGTACTAATGAGCAATTACAGAGTCTGGAGGGCTGTGACAGAAAAGCGCCTCCTTCTCACCGTAGTCCTAATTACGGGAGAAGAGTAACAATTTTTATTTTTATTTTATTTAGAAAATTTATATTGCCTCCAACTCGCACATGGTGACTCAAAGCGACTTACGAGACATAAAAACACAATATAAAAGAAATAAAAATAATAAATTAATAACCTCCCACCTCCTCACCCCGACGACAGCATACATCCATACCAGCCAGGGGTGGGTTGCTCCCAGCAGTACTGCTGGTTCGGTGTGCATGTGCACATAAAAAAAAAGGTCTGTGCATGTGCAAGACAGTTAAAAATATTAAATTTGTGTAATTACAATTGTTCTGCGCATGCACAAAACCGAAAATCAAGATGGCGGCCCTGTAGGAGAACCGGTTTGGGGGCGTGGCAGGCCTGGGTCGCTGGTGGTTCCTGTGACCCAGGCCGCCAAACCACTACCGGTTTGACCGAACCAGTCCAAACCAGCAGAAACCCATCTCTGATACCAGCCATTTAATGGGCTCCATCCCACCCTGGGTTCCCCAGGTCCCCTGGCAGAATCATGTCTTCAGAGCCTACTGAAAGAGTGTCAGAGTGGGCTCCAGTCTAATTTCTGGAGGGAAGATTTTCCAGAGAGGGAGCCACCACGGAGAAGGCCCTCCTCCTGAGTCCCACCAAATTGTACCGCCTTCGGGGGACGGGACCAGCAACATTCCTTGCCTGCCTGCTTTAGTGGGTCAGGTAGATGTGAGCGGCAAGAGATGGTCCCCCACATAACCTGGTCCCAAGCCATGAAGGGCTTTAAAGGTTGTTTGTATCAGATGGGTGGGTTTGGGTCAGTGGTGGGTTGCAGGCAGTACGCCCCGATATGGGCGTACCGAAGCCTGCCTGGAGCACCGGATACCATTCCGATACGGTGCTCTGGAGGGCCCACCTGCCCGCCCAAGCTCTTTACCGTGTTTTAAAGCTTTCGGTGCTTCCGAGCATGCGCATGGCACGTACAGCCCCTGCGCGACGCTCCGCCAAGCAGCTGGAGCATCGTGAAGGCTTGCGGAAGCGTTGTTGGCAGCTACAACGCATGCACGCGTGTGCATCCGTGTGGGTGACACCGAGCCTGTTCCAACCGTAGCGGTTGGAACAGGATCCGGAACCCACCACTGGTTCGGGTTGAAGAAGGGTTTCTTGCAGATCCCTGGCATCAAGCTATATAAAGATTTATAAGTTAAAAACAGAACTTTAAACTGCATCTATCTTGGCAAGTAAGGCAAGTTCTGCAGCCTAGGAGTAATATGGTTATGGCCTCTAAT